TTTCCTTTCTTTCTTTCTTTCTTTCTTTCTTTCTTTCTTTCTTTCTTTCTTTCTTTCTTTCTTTCTTTCTTTCTTTCTTTCTTTCTTTCTTTCTTTCTTCTTTTCTGGTACTGAGGTTACAAAACTTCCTACATGTTCTTTATGCCAGCAGCCTTTTAAAATAAATTGTTATAGGAAGCTTTTCATGTTTTCCCATCAGAATCAGAGAGGCAGATACATTTTCTTACTATTTCCCTTTTTCCTGTGGATGGACTTTTTCTATTTAAACTTTTACTGAGGCTATAATATTGAGAACTATGGGGGTCCGGGAAGAATCTACAACCAGCTGATAATTTAATCCTTGATGAAAAGAAACGAATCTATGTACACAAAACTCCTTAGTCCATACCCTTTATTCTTCTGTGTCAGTTCGCTCTCTACACAGCTTCTAGTCTGCTCTCGTGCCTAGCTCCTTTCTTGCCTGATTTCTCTCTACATTTATGTGCTGTCCCCTCTATGTTCTATCATAATTCTCTCATCTTAGTTCTGTCCCTTGTAGGTTCTCATCCGTCTAGTTCTTTCCCATTTTAGCTCTTCTCTCATCTCCTTCTTTCTCATCTTGATCTTCTTCATCTTGTTCTTCCCCATCTGGCTCTCCTTCATCTTCCATCTTGTTCCTCTAGTACTCTCTTCTAGCCCTTCAATCTAGTTCCTCTCCAGTTCTTACCTATCTAGTTCTTCCGTTCTTTTTGTCTTCTTCATCTCATCCTCAAGTTCTATATGTCAAATCCTCCTCTAAGTGTCCTTATACCTCTCTGTTCTCCATCCTCAAGTTCTCTAAGCTATTCAGCTATAAACTCAAGCAATAGCAATCCTCTGGCAGAGCAAGGTCACCAGGCTTGAATTCTTACAGGGTCATAAAGGCAGATAAGAGTTTTCCTCAGGCAATAACCACCAGGCTTTCTTTTACCACCCCATAAGGGAGTGGTAAAGGAAGAGGTCAACTGAGAACTAATGATCGGTTAGTATATCAAGAGGGGAATTTATGTGCTCAGTCTACATCCCTGGAAGTTGTTAGGTAAGAAGTCAGGAGTCTATAATGTTAGTAAGGCTATATAAGAAAGGAGGGTCTCACCTTAAATTGCACAAGAAATAAAGCTATTTATTGCCTGACCTAGGAGACAGGCACTTTCCACAAGGGTGTTACCTTAGTTCAGGAAATCGTTTGGCCTTGGATGTTTGATAGGTATTTTAGATAAATGCACTGTTAGGAGTTCTTGGAACCACACATAGCATACAAGAACATCATTGTGGGAATCGGACAATATCTATACAAAAGCTAAAATATCACCAAGACTTCTTAAGCCATGGCTTGACTTTAGTAGTAGCTTTTGTGATAATAGCCGAATTCCATTACATTTTCCTGCGGCTTGCAGCAATATAAGGATTTGTCCTCGGAGAGTCTCAGATTTGTGTTGAGTCCCAACTCCTAGCTTAACTGCTATTTCTATAAGGTTTTTGAAATCCCAGCTTCTTCTTAATGAGATTGCCAAATATCCCAGTTGAGCTGTGGCGTCTACACCCACTTATTTTGTTTTCATTTTGGAATACTACAGGTCAGAATTTTCCTTATTTTTTTGAAATGCCAGTTGTACAGTTAAGTACACATTTCATAGTGAGGGGTATAGTGTTGTCTTTTAGCCCACACTTATTGATTGGTTCATTTAACAGACAAGAAACTAAAACCCTAGGAAACAAGTGATTTGCCTTAGTCATACTGTTGGGTCAACAATTCAACTGGCTCCCAAACCAAGTTTTTTTCTCTGGGTAAATATGCTTCACCCCCACTCCCACTTCTCACCAAGTATTTCTTTTTTGTTTAGTCCTATGAGGATCTGGTTCAGCGTCTTGAGCCAGTTATAATGGAGCTAGAACGACAAGAAAATGTACTAGTGATCTGTCACCAGGCTGTCATGCGGTGTCTCCTGGCATACTTCCTGGATAAAAGTTCAGGTAACACTCCACCCCCCGTTCCTGGGTGAAGAGCTGGATATGATTTGAGATGCTGATGTCAGCAATTAGTTTATATCTTAGTGGTTAAAAGCACAATATTTAAAACAAGGATATCTAGGTTCAGGCTTGTTACACGTGTCTGTGCTACCTTCAGTAAGTATTATTATCCTTGTTGAAACAGCCTGTTTTCTCAACTATAAAATGGAAAGAATTAATGGTAAAATTGAAATAAACATGTTAAAAGCCAATAACAGATGATGCATTTATGGGCTATATTGCCATTATTAGTATACTCTTAGCTAATCTGTAGAATCTGCATACTGAAAGCCAGCAGAAACAGTCTGCCACAGCTTCACATGCTGAGCCAGTATGTCTCTGAAGCACACTCAGGAATAATTTTTCCAAGATAGCAATGTCTATAATTTAATTTTTTCAAGTGGTAATTTATTTTTAAAAACTATCTAGACCCTGTATTTATGAAAGTATGTATACACAAACTTTATATATTGCTATACATATATATATATACACAGACTACTTATGCTATGCTGTCATACATATATACACAGGCTTCATATACTGCCATATGTGTGTGTATATACTTAATATATATAATATATGTACACACACACACTAAGACTTCATATATTACCATACAGACTTCATATACAGCCATGTGTGTGTGTGTGTGTGTGTGTGGAGAGAGAGAGAGAGAAAGAGAGAGAGAGAGAGAAAGAGAGAGAGAGAGAGAGACTACATATGCTGCCATACATATGTATACACAGACTTCAAATCCTGCCATATATATGTATAATATATATATATATATTACATCTAATTCTCAGGTGGTTTGGCACCACCTTCATATGACAATCCATTTCTAATGTGGATGCTGAAATGTTGGCATTTCCAAAATATTTTGAAAATATTTGGGAGCAATGCTAAATGCTATTTATTTTATTTTATTTTACTTTATTTTATTTTATTTTACAATACCATTGAGTTCTACATATCAGCCATGGGTTCCCCTATTCTCCCCCCTCCCACACCCTCCCCTTACCCCCAGCCTACCCCCCCAGGGCAAATCCTCCCCCCCCCAGGACTGCAATCAACCTGGTAGACTCAGTCCAGGCAGGTCCAGTCCCTTCCTCCCAGACTGAGCCAAGTGTCCCTGCATAAGCTCCAGGTTTCAATCAGCCAACTCATGCAACGAGCACAGGACTTGGTCCCACTGCCTAGTTGCCTCCCAAACTGATCAAGCCAATCAACTGTCTCACCTATTCAGAGGGCCTGATCCAACTAGGGGCCCCTCATAAATGCTATTTTTTAATGCCTACAGTGTCCCAAATTCTTGAGTCAATTCTGTTATGCTAATTTCAAAGTAAGGAATATGTAAACTATGGAATAATTCAAGATTGGAATCCAAGGAACTTGAGAACTTGGCATTGGATAAGTCCTATTTTCTACCTAGTCTTCAACATCCTCCCTTAAAAATGTCCTTACTTGAAATAGGTGATGGACTATGTGATGGAGGTCCTTTTAGTCTTAGAATTCTGATATGTTTACATCTCTGCTTTTCAGAGCATTTCTTTGATATTGTGAGCACTGTTCCCATTGCTCAGATGAGAAAACCAAGGCTTGGAGCAGTGAAATGACTTGCCCAAGTTCATGGTATAGGAGTTAATTCCAGATGCTTATCAGAGGCCCTGCCCTCTCAAATATACACAGGGGCCTTGCAGTTACTTCCCAATGTCTCCATTTCTTACCATCTTTCACACAGAGGCCATTCTAGCTGTTCACAACTTCTCCTGGGAGCAAGGTTACACAGAGCTAGGCAGATAGTTTTACCCTTAGTCAGGAGAGAGATAAAGAATGCGCAGAGAAATTATATGAGTTAGAATGCATACCAGCAGACTGCAGGGCCAGGGCATCTTCAGATTGTACCTAATCTAATCTTGTTCTGTAAAATGGGGACACTGAGAGCCAGAGAGAGGAGGCAGTGGTAGAGCTGGGTCAGAGACTGTAGATAAGTTACTTCTGTTCTCCAAAGCTGTTTGTTCATATGGAAAGTAACAGTGGACAGGACTCAGAGCATCAATGAGGGTACAGTGTGTTCATACACACAAAAAATGTCGCTGGCCCAGAGCTTAATTATAATGATTGACAGTGAGGAGGAAGAGAGTCAATTTCCAGGAAAATGCCCTCTTTTGATATATCAGGAGATTGAGAGGATGGTGGCATGCTTTAAAGCCTATACTTAACCTAAGGGACAAGAAGTCATTTCCAGAGATGGTACTCCAGCTAAACAAGGGAAGTAAGGATATGTAATGCAGTCTGGAGAGTGGTGAGGTGGATATCAAGACAAAGTGCCCCAAAAAGTGGACATCCCCAGTACTCTGTGAGGCTCTCCATGGTGGTAGTTAGAAACTGCAAGGGCAGAGTAGGCATCTTGTCTTCAGAGTACCCTTCCTAGCCATGGTACATTTCCCCTTGAAGCCCATTTCCTTATCTATGGAATGAGCCAGATCACCCTTCCTTTCTGTCTGTCTGAAAAGTAGAAACACTGGTCTTGAAAGGAAATTGTACATAAATGTTCAGAGTCACTTTCTGCGTAATCGTCAATAACAGGAAACCAGTGAATCACAGTTATTGTCTATAAACAAGTTGTAGGAATCGCACAGAGAAAGAGGGAGAGACAAAAACAGGGAGACAGATGGGAAGTGGGGGGTTGCTGCCTGAGCTGGAGGAAAGTATAGGAGTAGTCAAATAGTACATGTGCCTCTGCCACAGAAGTAGTACTTAGAAAGGTGTCAGATTTGTGGACTCTGGTGGGGGTAGAGGGTGTAAAGAGGCTGTGGAAAGGTGACCTAGGGCAGGAGGGAGGCTTGCTTTCATCTCCTGCTGATTCTGAGTAAAGAACTGAGGCCCCTAGGTGGGTATCTAGCCGTACCATGGGACTCACACTCTGTCCACCTTTCCCAAGGCTGTCTTTCTCCTGTTTCCAGGCAGCTAGGTTGCTCTCTTTCGCCCTGCTTAGCTTGCTCTTGTGACTACCCACCCTATAGAATACCAGCTGTAAGTCTGTACTGGGACTCAAGTAGGAAGCAGAGGTAGAAGAAGGAGCACCCAGCAGCCTGGATGTGGTCCTCTGCCCAGTACTGCGCCTCTCAAGGCTGTTTCTTCCTCCTTTCCAGATGAGCTGCCCTATCTCAAGTGTCCTCTGCACACAGTGCTCAAACTCACACCTGTGGCTTATGGTAAGTACCCTCACTCTCATCTAAGGAAGGGCACATAGAAGCCAGGACTATGCCTCCAGTGCCTACCATTTGCTCTAGAAGGTTCCTGGGTGAGGTTCCCTATGTGGCTGGCAGGATGTCCTGGTAAAGGTGCAGCTGGTGACAGTAGGGTAAGAGGGAAGGAGGAGACTAGCATCCAGATCCAGAGCCTGGCCCTTTCTGTCTCTGCTTGGGTACTGAGTACAGAACATTGTTCTATCTGTGTCCCCAACAGATACCTCAGGAAAATTATAGGTTGAGGCCATATGGAAGAATGGGGGCATTAGTTACTTATGAAAGGTTCATAAGCAAGGAAAGGAAATCAAATGTAATCCAGGATGTGAACAGGATAAAAGGACCAACTGAGACCTGTGATAGGGTAGTCTACAGGAATGGTGCTGAAGGGGTTACCACTGAACAGTGGAGCTCCTGTGTCAGCCCCACGCACCTTCTTCTTCGGGTTCCCGAGAACTTCCCAGGAATCACAACTTTAGTATTGCTATAATTGTCTTCTGAATAAACCTTGCCTGGGTTTGAGTACCCAGTACACAGCCTAGGGCTCTTCCACTTAGCATGGCTTGGAGGACTCACAGGACTCTGTCAGTCATACATGGATTAAGACCACTGGCTTATAGGTCGCAGAAGTTGGGGGAGATCACAAAGATCATCTCCTCTCATTTCTTTCCCCATATACAAATGAGCAATTGAAGCCAAGCAAACAGACACACAAAGAACTGGGCTTTGGCCCCGAAATCTTTCCCACACATCCTACAGCTCCTCTGAACTCCCCTGTCTTCAGGGGAGATATAATCTAGGGCAGTGGTTCTCAACCTTCCTAATGCTGTGACCCTTTAATACAGTTCCTCATGTTGTGGTGACCTCCAACCATAAAATTATTGTCACTACTTCATAACTAATTTTGCTACTGTTATGAATCGTAATGTCAATACCTGATATTCAGGATCCTGATATGCAACCCCCCAAAAGGTCGTGACCCATAGATTGAGAACTGCTGATCTAGAGAGTATGGGCCTGGGGTATGGGCAGTGATGACGGGAAAGGGGAAAATAACACCTTAGGGAAGACCTGTGCTTATCCTGAGTGTTGATGGACACATGAGTTATTCTTTTCTGAGGCTGCAGAGTGGAGTCCATCTACCTGAATGTGGAAGCTGTGAACACACACCGGGACAAGCCTGAGGTAGGTGGAGTGCTCTGTACCCAAGCTGACTGTTAACAAGGTACATTCTGAAAATACCCTCACACAGGGAAAGGCTGTCTGCAGCCCCAGACATCCCAGATGTTTCAAATCAATCAGCACTCAGAAATGGCAAGAACCATAGTCTAGGCCTATAGAGACCCAGGGCTGTGACAATCCCTGCTAAACAGGCCTCAGGCATGATTCCCCAGGCATGCCTAAGGAGAGTACCAGGACCCATCCCCTGCTGAAAGAGGGATGCCTGGCAGGAACTGGGACCCTATACCTCCTACTAACCCTGGGCTCTCTCCTTAGAATGTGGACATCACCCGTGAACCTGAGGAAGCCCTGGACACTGTCCCTGCCCATTACTGAATCCTTTCCAAGTGGTCAGATTGCCTCTGTCCTCGTTGCTTTCCTCCTGTAGGAACTGCTGCCCTTGTTCTCCCTAAGCAGACTCTGGCTTTGTCCTGAGAGTGCCCTACCTCCAGTGAAGAAGTCCGTAGCAGCTCCCAAACAAGTCTCAATTCCTAAGGAGCCTACTTAGTCGTGGACAAAGTTCTTCTTAAATAACTATTTTCTAATGAATAAAGACATGTCTTCCCGCCTATAGGACAGGAAGAGGCTATATGGCTTCTCCCATTGTTCTCAAGAGCTTGATTCTAACCCAACTCTGGTACTGTTGGTGAAGAATGGGTGAGGACGTCTGAGATCAAAGAGTCCTGGGGTAGCACTTCTCAAAGATGAAAAAGATAGGTCCTTGTGAGTTCCTGTTGGTTTTGTTCCTTGGCAGTCAAGGTACTCAGGGACAAGATGTATTCATCATTATACTCAGAGAAGAATCTAGCACTTGGGCAAAGAGCTTCAGTCTCCTCCAACTCTTGCTACTATCCTGAGTAATTTCATTGCCTATGGTAATGATGCCATTAACACCCTCTCTCCCTCCCAGGCATATGACCCCCTCAACTTCAGTGGTTATCTGTTTTCATTTGTGGGATCCTCTCTCTGGGCTAACTTACTAGCTGGAAGCTTCCGGTTTATTCAAGTCTGTAAAATGTTATCATCCTTAAGACTTTAGCAGTATGCCTCCACACCATAGGCATTCATGTAGTATTTCCTAAATGAACAATATCTGCCCTGGTTCATCAGTATGTTCCTTTGAGCTCTCCTTTGTCTCCTAGTTCTTTAGTCTCTCAATATTCTTGTAATCCCTAACCAACTTGGACCTACTTCTTCAGCCACTAGCCATACACTAATCATTATGGGCCAGGTTCTAGTGTCCGTGTGATAAACAGACTCATAACCTGGCTGCTGCCGCCTTTGTTCCCTGGTCCTTTCATCACAGCCACCCTTGAATCCTGTTCTAAGTCGGGGTCACCCTGTATTTTCTGGCACCCTGTCCCTTTCCACTGTCTAATACTACTTCAGTCAATTCCTGACTCTTACATATCAATCCCCTGCCTCTCATTTGGCTTTGTCCCTACAGTCCATTTTTATTTTTCTTTCCTATCCCAAGAGAATGTCTTCTTGCTCCCACGTCAACTCCTAATTCCTTCCCATCTTACCCTCTATTCTTATACAATTACACCAAGTTAGTGTGAATTTACTATCCATAGCTCTTTCTGTTTGCATTCTACCTTGGGCTTTCCCCTTCTATATCTTTGCTCAAGCTATTATCCATTGGCCTGCCATTCTTTCCCAGAGCTCTCTGACCCTGAGAAATACCTGCCTTTTAGCTGGAGCCCCAGAGTCCCCAAAAAGCTAACTTGAACTCTAGTTGTTCTACAAACCCTGAACATCACATCTAGCCATATCAAAAGATGGAATAAACTCAGATTCCTTTGGCAAATTTAATGTAACTCTGATACCAAAATATGACAACAACACAGGAAGCAAACACAAAGCAGGAACAGCAGATTTTTCATAGTGTTTCACTCAGCTAATGGGTAGTAGCTGCTTAGGCTGCTGTGTGGACAGAGATTCCAAAGCTGCACATTGGCTCCATGGGAAGTACTGCTGCGTTAGCGGTATCTGTAAACATGGGTAACAAACCTGAAAAACAGAGCAGAATACCCAGAGACATGTTAGCGCCAAGCCCATTTCCTCCCATTTCCCTTCTTGTCTTCATCTTCTCCCTTGGTCCTCCTGTCTAGTAGCTCCCAACTATCCTGGCTTCCCCGTGGGTCCTGGCTATGGGAATATTGCAGTTACCTGAAACTTCATTAGCCGTAAGAGAAGCCACAGGCACCCAGGTTAGTGGCTCCACCACCGAAGCCAGTACCGGTGCTTGGTCCACCGCCGAATCCAGCACTGCTGTTCAGCCCACCACCAAAGCCGGCACTGCTGCTCAGTCCACCACCAAAGCCAGTACTGGTACTCAGTCCCCCACCGAAGCCAGGTGCAGTGCTTGGTCCTCCGAAGCCACCTCCAGTGCTTGGTCCGCCGAAGCCAGCTCCTGTACTTGGTCCACCACCAAAGCCACCAGTGCTTGGTCCACTGCAGAAGCCAGCACCAGTGCTTGGTCCACCACTAAAGCCAACAATAGAACTGGGTCCATTACTGAAGCTGGAGCCGGCGCTGGGCTCACCAGTAAAGCCACTGCTGGTGTTGGAATCACTGCCAAAGCCAATGATGGTATTCAGTCCTCTGTCGAAGCTGGCATTAGGCCCACTGCCAAAGCCATCGCCAGTGCTGAGGCTTACACTAAAGCCTGCACCAGTGCCAAGTGTGCCGCCAAAACCATTATTGGTACTCAGGTCACCAGCAAAGCCATTAGTGACCAGTCCACCGCCAAAGCCAGTGCTGCTGCCAAGTCCATCACCAAAGCCAGCGCCAGTGCCCAGTCCACCACCAAAATCAGTGCTAGTGTTTAGTCCACCATCGAAGCCAGCACTGGTACCCAGTCCCGCACTGAAGTCAGCATTAGAATTTAGTCCACCACCAAAATCAGTGCTGGTGCCTAGTCCACCACCAAAGCCAGTGCTGGTGCCCAGGCCACCATTGAAGCTAGCACTGGGGCCTAAGCTTCCACCAAAGCCGGTGCTGGTACCTAGGCTGCTGCCAAAGCCAGTACTGGTGCCCAATCCATTTCCAAAGCCAGCACTGGTACTTAGCCCATTCCCAAAACTGAAAATGGCACTGGTGCTGTGCCCCTCACTGTAATTGGCACTGGTAGCACCACTAAAGCAGGAGTTGGTGCTGGAAGAGCCTCCAAAGCATAGGTTGGTGTTAGATGCACTGCCAAAACAGAGACTGGTGCTGGGTGCTCCACCAAAACAGAGATTAGTGCTGTGAGAACCACCAAAGCTGCCGCTGGTAGTGGGAGCACTGCCAAAGCTAATACTGTTGCTATGCGTACTACCAAAGTCAGTGGTACTAAGTGCCCCACCAAAGCCAACGCTGGTACTGAATGCACCACCAAAGTCGGGGTTGGTGCTGATGGCACCGCCAAAGCTGGCACTGGTGCTGATGGCACCGCCAAAGCCGGCACTGCCACTGAGCGCACCATCAAAGCTAGCACTGGTGCTGATGGCACCGCCGAAGCCAGCACTGCCATTGAGTGTACCACTAAAGCTGGCACTGGTGCTGATGGCACCGCCAAAGCCGGCACTGCCACTGAGTGCACCATCAAAGCTGGCACTGGTGCTGATGGCACCGCCAAAGCCAGCACTGCCATTGAGCGCACCACCGAAGCTGGCACTGGTGCTGATGGCACCGCCAAAACCAGCACTATTACTGAGCGCACCACCAAAGCTGGCACTGGTGCTGATGGCACTGCCGAAGCCAGCACTGCCATTGAGTACACTACCAAAGCTGGCACTGGTGCTGAGTGCACTGCCAAAGCCAGAACTGGTGCTAATGGCACCACCAAAGCTGGCACTGCTGTTGAGTGCATTGCCGAAGCCGGTGCTGGTGTTGATGGCACCGCCAAAGCTGGCACTGCTGTTGAGTGCATTGCCGAAGCCAGTATTTATGGCACCACCAAAGCTGGCACTGCTGTTGAGTGCATTGCTGAAGCCAGCATTGGTGCTGATGGCACCACCAAAGCCGGTACTGCTGTTGAGTGTACCGCCAAAGCCAGCACTGGTGCCAGAAGAGCCACCAAAACTGACACTAGTGCTTAGTGTGCCACCAAAGTCAGAGCTGGTGCTAGAAGAAGCACCAAAGGAAACACTGGTGCTGAGTGTACCACCAAAACCAGTATTGGTGCTAGGAGAACCACCAAAGCAGATACTGGTACTGAGTGTGCCTCCAAAGCCGGCACCAGAGCAGGGAGAGCTACCAAAGCAGACACTGGTGCTAAGTGTGCCTCCAAAACCAGTGGTGGTGCTAATTGCACCACTGAAGACAGTGCTTGTGGTAGGTGCGCTGCCAAAGCTGGTGCTGGTGCTGAGCGCACCACTAAAGCTAGCTGTGGTACTGCTAAGTGTGCCTCCAAAGCCACAGCTGGCTCCACCATTGAAACTGGCACTGGTACAAGGTGCACCACCAAAACTAATACTGGCTCCACCACTGAAACTGGTACTCGTGGTAGGAGAACCACCAAAGCTAATGCTGGATCCACCACTGAAACTACTGCCAATGCTGGATGCGCCACCAAAGCTGATGCTGGCTGTGCTGTTGAAACTGGTGCTGGTGTTGGGTGCACCACCAAAGCTGATGCTGGCTCCGCTGCTGAAACTAGTGCTAGTGTTGGGTGCACCACCGAAGCTGATGCTGGCTGTGTTGCAAAAAGTGGCACTAGTACTGGGTGTACCACTGAAGCTAATGCTGGCTCCACCACTGAAACTAGTGCTAGTGTTGGATGTATCACCAAAGCTGATGCTGGCTGCACTGCTGAAGTTGGCAGAGGTGTTGGGTACACTACCAAAGGTAATGCCATTTCTGCCACCAAAGCCACCACTGGGGCTGGGCATGCCACCAAAGCCACCACTGGGGCTGGGCATGCCACCAAAGCCACCACTGGGGTTGGTTATACCACCAAAGCTAATACTAGCACCATCACTGAAGCTATTTCTGGTACTAGCTCCTTGATTGAAGTTGACATTATTGGTGGGATCTGCATTTTCTTGGGCTCTGGAGTCAATTTCAAAGGAAAATCTGCTCCAAGCCTGAGCATCATCACCCAACTCTTCCCTTGTTAAGCAGTCAATATCCATGTCATCCCAATTCCAGGGCCCAGCCACAGCTTCCTCTCCAATCCCCATTTGGGCTCTTGCCTCAGCCCTGGCCTCAGCCTCAGCCACAGCCACAGCTGCAGCCTGAACGTCCATCTCTACTGCCTCCCGGTACTGAGCAGCCCAGTCTTTAGGATCTTTCTTCTGTACCTAAAATGGAAATTATAATTATAAGAAAAATAGCCTTTATAGTTATATGTGAAGCACCCATTTATGGGATCCACACAAAACTAAAAGGGTAAATTTTAAAAAAAATCTTTCTAGAATTCTAATGAGTAAGGCTTGATATCAAACTTGAGCTCTGATAACTCAGGCACCCAAGTTATGTCCTTGGACAAGTTACTTTATATCACTGAGCCTAAATGTCCCCATTTGTAATGCGGGAAACGATAAGAGACTAAGTATGTTATACACTGTATTTTCCCAGAATTCTTATGTTGAACACCCGCCCCCTAATCATGACTGTATTTGCAGACAGGGTCTTTTATGGGTATAACTTAAGTGAAATGAGTGAGGCCTTGATCAAATAGGATTAATGCCCTTATAAGAAAAGGCATGAAAATGAATTCAGACTTGCTCTATGCTATGTGAAGTTGCAGAAAAAGTTAGCATCTGTAAGTCAGAAAAAGCCTACACCAGAAACTGACTGTACTAGATGTTGATATAGGGTTTTTATTTTCAGGTTTTTTTTATCTCTGATACATTTTGGGAGTGTATCAATTTCTGTATCTAAAGCCATCCAGTTATTAATAATATTTTCTAATGGCAGCCTGAACTGACTGATGATGCAATGTAAAAATTAACTAGACAATGAAAGATGTATATCTTGCAGTATATATCTGGAACATTAATGTAGATTTATATATTTATATACAAAGCATATGTTGCCCCATACCTGTCTCACTGCACACAGCCCACCTCAGCCTGGAGAATCCCATTCCCTTAATGTGCCAAGCTCAGGCAGTTCATTACCTTGCATGCAAATTTTAGGACTTTCATCTTGCTAGTCTCATGGTAAGACCGCAGGCCCCAGAAGAATTCATATTCAGGTGGTCTGCTGTTGGGGACCCTTTTGTATTCCAGATACCTTGGAGAAAGGAAATGAAACTTGCTTCTAAACAAGCAAAACTATTGTTTAACCACTAGGCCTCAGATGAAGCAATTTCCTCTAAACCAACAATCTGGAGAAAAATTTTCAAGCCCCCCCCTCCCCAGACTCATTCCCATGGAAACATGGTTCCATGTAAAGCCATGGTGATTCATATACAGGACATGATACCACAAAAGACATGTGTTTTGTCTGCTATGAAGACTAACCCCAGATTGCTTTTGGGTATGCTGTTAATAAATGGGCCATTTTGGGCCCCTGCTATGAGTACACACCATTGCAAGGGTCCTAATGGGGCTTGGCCACAAGAATTTTTTATAGGACTTGAGTCTAGGCCACAGGATGCCCATCTGTCTATAAAGAGTGTGAGAAAGGCATTAAGTATTTTTTGAACCAAATTGCCACACCCAGAGCACTTCAGAGGTACACAAAACCTTGAACACTACTTACTTCTGCTTCACGAATTCATCTGTGATGAGTTTCCTCACTTCTCCAAAAAGTGAATGTCTTACCCTAGCAAAGGAAAACATAATCAGTGAATACAGATCAGAACTTCCCAGATGAAGGTAGAGGTATTTCCCAACATGGAACAGATTCTATAGCCAATGAGGCAGTCTCAACGAAGTGAAGATAGTAGTGAGCATATGGCCACTAGAAGAAAACGGTGGAGGCCAGATGGCACTTTGTCAGGGATGCCTGAAGGTCCACCTTACACCTCATCTCAGAACAGACAGAAGACATAAAGGAGAAAAGAAGCAGAGTTCAGAACAATTTCGTCATTCATCCGGGTAAGAAACCCCTCAATCCCCACCCCCACCCCACGCTCCCCAGACCACCAGGTTGATGCAATCCTGGGACCATCCTCTCTTGCCAAAAGACAACACGGACAGCAAGCGCTGAGAGAGCCCAATCATACCCAGGACGCAGCCCCAACTTGCGCAGCACCTCCCAGATGACAGCTGTAAGAGGAGGCAAGGAGAGAAAATGAGCATCTGGAATTCAGACAACAGCCACCTATTCAACTGCATGCCACTCACCCTCACTGGCCTTGTTGCCATTCATGAAAATGACACTCAGAATCACCATGAGGAGGCCGAGCTTAGGTGTGTCCTTGGTCCTAAGAGGATAACAGGACAAAGAGAAAGTTTATGATCATAAGTCATCATCTATCCAACACAGTTCATTAGGCCAGCCTCTCCTAGATTCCTCAGATACAGAGAATTCAGCCTATTCTGTGGTCCCAGCTATCTATGGCCCAAGGCAAGGTGCTTTCACTCTTGAGTCAAGGTCTCCAGTAAAATGGGAAGCCACATAATATCCCTACCCAGGGTTAGCAGGACATGGACGAATCCCTGTCAACCACACAGGCACTCAGTTATTGGGAGTCTTTCTTCCTCTCCTAAAGCCCCTGGCCCCAAGAAGTTCTAGATGGAACCCCAGTGACACCCCTCCCTCAAGCATCGTGATCCACACCAGAAGTCCCTCTGAGAGCCACCCTTCCACAGCCAGGCCAGGCACCCAGTAGAAGAGACAAAAGTAACAAGAGGCTGATTTCCTGGGAGCCTGTGAGAAAGCAAACGTGAAGGCAGGAATGCCCCAGTCCAGGCTCTGAAGCCCTTCTGTCATAATCTAGTACCACTGATGCTCACAGGGATCCAGTCATGTGTGGGAGCTGGGACATGGGCATTTAGACCATCTTTCCTGAGCTGCTCAGAGGAAGCAGAAGCCCCTTCCCACCCTAGCACTTTCCCAGCTTACGTTCCCAGTATGCCTGCAGAGGACTCCTGAGTGCTGATAAGAATATACAAGCTACTTTGCTTATCAATTTCCTTCAGATTGACTCGAAACATCTGCCAAGTAAAAGAATAGCCTGTGAGATTGCAAAATATATCTTAGGTATCAATTAGCATGTTGGGCATTCTGCAGAAAAGAGTTTTGTATGAAATAGAAAATGACTGTAAAGCACATAGTTCAGTACCAAGCACATATTAAACATATAACAAACATAAGATAGTCATCCACAGCATCTTTGTGATATTGAGCATCTGCAATACATGAGACGGTGTATCCAGCAACAGACACAAGCTAGGACTGAGCTACATAGCTTTAGTACTGGCTGTGTTTCCACCGCTGACTTGCTGAGTGATCAGTGGCTGCCCCTCCCTAGGCCACTGTGTGCTCATCAGCACAGTAATGAGAATGTATTAGGTCTCTGTGCTTCCTCCCAGGAGGGTGATCATATACCTTTCTTCTGTTTAAGGTTTCCCCAGTGCACCCATCCCCCAGGGCTGCCCCGTCACCTTCTCCAGAGCATAGCTTGCTCGTTCAATGATCTCTGGGAAATACTCATCATATTCTTGGATGACATCCTTCAGCATGTCTGCAAGAAAGGGGAGACAGAAGATGCTAAACTGTACAGAGGCCAGATGACTGTGGTCTTTTACAAGCCCGATGTGGTCAGGGTAGCTATGGTGAAATATGAGTGTGGCTGCTGGGGCGGTATGAGAGGAGGTGATGAGTAAACAGCCACAGGCCATGGGGAAAGAGAAGTGAAGAGAGCTCAGGAAGGCTACCTGAGCGCTTGATGGGGATCTTTGTCTGGTCCTTAACCAACAGGTATTTCACCAACTTATTTGCCTAAAAAAGGAACAGTTGGGGAGGTATCGATACAGTGGCAAACCACTTGGAAGAATGAAGAGAAAGAAAAGCAGGACATGAGCAAATTGGATTCTTACCCTTTCCTGCAAAATGGCCACATCTCGGGGTGGTGGAGGCCTCCGGCCCCATGGGATCCGCCTGAAATTATTCCCAGTTCTTTCTTCTCCATTGAGATGCTTAGACTTTATCAATGGACAAAATTTCTGGAGTTACCAAATGAAAAAGATTGCTGTTTCTTCCAGAAAAATCCCCCTGGAGTCTAGCAAGCCTCCTACAGAGGGGTGTGGCCCTAACACTGGCTACCCTGACTCCCACTCTTTTCTTTCACTGGCTTCTAGGTAACATTGTATTTCAACCTCAAGGGCACAGCCAAACAAGGACATGGCCTGGGGGTTTTCCCTTTTATTTGGCCACCACCATACTCCGCTATCTATAGGCCTTAGATGGATCACTTCATTCCAGGACTTTGTTTTCTTCTCTGTAAAACTGGGACTTACAGTCCCCAGTTAGTAAGAGTTCTTTTCAAAAAATCCACATATAACCTGGGTAAATGTATATGACACAAAGTATGACACATGGTTAAATATGATGTAAATACAAAGTGAGTTACACATAGGTCTTGACCAAATACACAAATGTATTTCCCTACCAATCTATGAACTACTAGTGGACACAACTGTATCACATTCTTCTCAGCATTATCCTATACCCTATATGAACACAGGGTCACTCTTGAAGTTAAATGACTCAGGAAAAATAAGACAAATGAACAACCCAGTATAGGAATGAGAAAGCAGCAAAAAGTTAAGGATAATGTCAGAGATCTCACCTTGCGATTCCTTTTGCCCCGGGTTCTGGTTGTGGGCTCTAAACTCAACTGAGCCAGATAGTCATCTGCCAAGGCCTGGACAGCAGCAGCAACCTGAGTCTCAAGGGCACTAATGCTGGCCTGAGAGGTAGCCATCTTGGCCTGAGCTCCTTGTTCAGTGATTTGAGCATGGCTTTCAGTTGCCCGAGTCTTAGTGGCAGCCTTTCGAGCCCTGGACCCTCTCCTGATCCGTACAGTGACTGATAGGGCATGGTTTGTGACCATTTGAATGGCAGGTGGAGCCTCAGAGAACTCAGAAGCAGAAGTTGGGCCTTTATTGGCAACCTTCTTCCCCTTGGGCTTTTTGGGCCTTAGAACTACAGTTGAGGCCTCAATCTGTCTGCCAGATCCCTCAACAGCATTTGAGGACTCTACATATTCAGTGTCAGTATTAGTGGTCTTAGCAGTTGTTCTTTTAGCTTTGCAAGTTTTCTTGGTTCGGATAGTAGCTGCTGTGGCCTGGATACTAGCTGTCTCCTTAGCAGTTTGGCCTTGGGTTGTAGCTGTGTGTGTAGCAGTCGAAGCCAGTGAGATCTCAGTGGCACTAGGTATGGTCTTATTGGCAGCCTTCTTAGCCTTAGAAGCTTTCTTGGGTTTGCTGACAGCTATCAAGGCCAGGGAATTAGCTGACTCATTGGCAATTGGTGACTGGATAGCAGGTGAGGTACCTGGTAGGTTTAGGGCATGTAAGGGTGACTTGAGCTGTGTAGTGACATCCTCAGTGCCAGTTAGGGATACCTTAGGTGTAACTCTCTTTGTCTTGGCTTTCTTGGTCTGAGCAGTAACTGAAGCCTGGATATTGGCTGCCTCAGTAGTAGTTGAAGCCTGGCTGATCTGGGAGAACATTGGTAGGTTTAAAGCCTGCAGAGTTACTTTAGGCTTGTTGCTAGCAATGTCATTGGCAGATGGGACTGGAGGGGGAGTGGGTGTGGTCTTAGTAATAGCTTTAATAGAAGTCTTCTTGGTCTTGTTTTTCTTAGGCCGGCTGGCAACAGGGGGGTCCTTGGATGCCGACAACATGGTATGCATCATCAGGACATTGTCCTTCTCTGTGGTCTCAGTCTGTACATCTGGAGAGAAAGGAAGCCCTAGGCTCCCAGAGGGAGGCAGAGGGCCCTACATACTTAGGATTATGATCCTATGGGCCATCTGGCCTCCCTACAACCACCCCTCTTTACAGTGGACTCTCCTCCTGGGCAGTTTGATTGAAAGGGGGTGGGAAAACAAGGAGGAAGCAGGAGATAATCGGGCAAATTTCCCTCTTCCCAGCCCCATGCAAAGGAAGATTGAGCCAGGTTAGGTAGGGAGGTTAGGTAGGGAATTGTGGAACTACACAGTGGTAGTGGACTCCAGAGTGGTAAGTGAATTTGGGGCAGGGCAGATGGTCTGGTAAGAATACAGAGAGGTCTCACCTGGAATGTGGGCATCCGATAACCATAGTCATTTCTTCTATCCATCTTCCTGAGAGGCTAGTAGCTGAGCCTGAAAGAAATAGGGCTGAGTTAGAGGAAAATAAGGAAGCAGGGAGATTCATCAGAAGTCTCGCTAAATCTGAATGGTGAAAGAATTTACCTAATTTTGGGCATCAAACCCTTCTGGGTTTGCCTATCTAGAAGCTCAGGGTATCTGGTTTCTGAGTTCCAGCACTTCCAAGATGGCAAATCAGTTCTACGACCTACACCTAAATACCCTCAACCACACCGCAACCTGACAGTGCGCATGCGCACAGAACACACACACACACACACAC